CCCCAGGGGTGTCCATCTACCTTATGGACAATATCTTAGACTTAAACGTAATTCTTCTGAGAGTTTGGATTTTTTAAAAGACAGCAGGGTATTAGAACAACAATTAATTGCTAGAGGTTATCCTCGACACACTATCTGGGATTCCAAAGTGAGGGCCTATAAAATGGATAGGAATTTATTGTTAAAGTATAAGATCAGAAGAGAGAGAGGAGGTATCTTTTGCAGTTCGGAATTTTCCCATCTGGCAGGGCCTATAAAACATATTATTCTTCGAAATTGGCATTTAATTTCAGACTTGCCTGGTTGCCAGGATAAACCTATTATCTCTTATAGGAGATCTAAGAATTTAAAGAACATTTTGACAAAAACTGATGCTTTGAAGGTTAGACAGAAAAAGGAATCTTTACCTATTTTTTTGTTGTTCAGTCGCACAGTCGAGTCCGACTCTTCGCGACCCCATGGACCAGATCACGCCATGCCTTCCTGGATTGACACTGCAAAGGTGGCCACTGGAGTATTGGGGTTGACACTTGAAAGTCTCCTCGCCTCCACCCCGACTTTGTTGTTGTTCAGTCGCACAGTCGAGTCCGACTCTTCGCGACCCCATGGACCAGATCATGCCAGGCCTTCCTGTCTTCTGCCATCCTCTGAAGTTTGCTCAATTTCATGTTCGTTGCGTCGATGACACTGTCCAACCATCTCATCCTTTGCCGTCCCCGTCTTCTTTGACCTTCAATCTTTCCCAGCATCAGGGTCTGCTCCAGTGAGTGCTCCCTTCTCATTTGGTGGCCAAAGTATTTGAGCTTCAGTTTCATTATCTGGCCTTCCAGGGAACAGTCAGGGTTGATTTCTTTGAGGATTGACTGATTTGTTCTTCTTGCAGTCCAAGGGACTCTCAAGAGTCTCCTCCAGCACCATAGTTCAAAAGAATCTATTCTTCGGCGCTCGGCCTTCCTTATAGTCCAACTCTCACAGCCATACATGACTACTGGGAATACCATTGCTTTGACCATGCGGACTTTTGTTGGCAGGGTGATGTCTCTACTTTTTATCATGCTGTTTAGGTTCGCCATCGCTTTCCTCCCAAGGAGCAGGCATCTTTTAATTTCATGGCTGCTGTCACAGTCTGCGGTGATCTGGGATCCCAGGAACGTGAAGTCTGTCACTACTTCCACGACTTCCCCTTCTATTTGCCAAGGAGTGATGGGGCCGGATGCCATGATCTTAGTTTTTTTGATGTTGAGCTTCAAGCCCACTTTTGCGCTCTCCTCTTTTACCCTGAGCAAGAGGCTCTTTAGGTCCTCTTCACTTTCTGCCATTAGAGTGGTATCGTCTGCATATCTGAGGTTGTTGATCTTTTCCCCAGCAATCTTAATTCCCGCTTGTGATTCATCCAGGCCAGCATTTCGCATGATGTACTCTGCATATATATTAAATAAGCAAGGTGACAATATACATCCTTGTCGTACTCCTTTTCCTATGCTGAACCAATCAGTTGTTCCATATCCGGTTCTAACTGTCGCTTCTTGGCCCTTATACAGGTTTCTCAAGAGACATGTGAGGTGGTCTGGTACTCCCATCTCTTTAAGGACCTGCCATAGTTTGTTGTGATCCACACAGTCAAAAGCTTTAGCATAGTCAATGAAGCAGAAGTAGATATTTTTCTGGTACTCTCTTGCTTTCTCCATAATCCAGCGAATGTTGGCAATTTGATCTCTAGTTCCTCTACCTCTTCGAAACCCAGCTTGTACTTCTGGTAGTTCTCTATCCACGTACTGTTGAAGCCTAGCTTGTAGGATCTTGAGCATGACCTTGCTAGCGTGTGATATGAGTGCAATTGTGCGATAGTTTGAACATTCCTTGGCATTGCCCTTCTTTGGGATTGGAATGTATACTGACCTTTTCCAATCCTGTGGCCACTGTTGCGTTTTCCAAATTTGCTGGCAAATGGAGTGCAGAACTTTAACAGCATCATCTTCTAAGACTTTGAATAGCTCAGCTGGAATACCATCACCTCCACTAGCTTTGTTGTTAGTAATGCTTTCTAAGGCCCATTTAACTTCACATTCCAGGATGTCTGGCTCGAGGTCAGTGATTATACCGTCGTGGTTGTCAAGGACATCGAGGTCTTTCTTGTATAGTTCTTCTGTGTATTCTTGCCATCTTTTCCTAATCTCTTCTGCTTCTGTTAGGTCCCTACCGTTTTTGTCCTTTATCATGGCCAGCTTTGCATGGAACGCTCCCTTGATTTCTCCAATTTTCTTGAAGAGATCTCTAGTCCTTCCCATTCTATTGTTTTCTTCTATTACTTTGCACTGTTCATTCAGGAAGGCCTCCTTATCTCTCCTTGCTGTTCTCTGGAAATCTGCGTTCAGTTGGGTAAATCTTTCCTTTTCGCCTTTGCCTTTCGCTTTCCTTCTTTCCTCTGCTATTTGTAAAGCCTCATCAGAAAGCCACTTTGCTTTCTTACATTTCTTTTTCTTTGGGATGGTGGTGATTGCTGCCTCCTGTACGATGTCACGAACCTCTGTCCATAGTTCTTCAGGCACTCTATCTATCAAATCCAGACCCTTGAATCTATTCTTCACCTCTACTGTATATTCATCAGGGATGCGATCTAGGTCAAACCTGAATGGCCTCGTGGTTTTCCCAATTTTCTTCAGTTTAAGTCTGAATTTTGCAATGAGTAGCTCATGATCTGAACCACAGTCAGCTCCAGGTCTTGTTTTTACTGACTGGATAGAGCTTCTCCATCTTTGACTGCAAATTATATAGTCAATCTGATTTCGGTGTTGCCCATCTGGTGATGTCCATGTGTAGAGTCGCCTCTTAGGTTGTTGGAAAAGGGTGTTCGCTATGACCAGTGTGTTCTCTTGACAAAACTCTGTTAACCTTTGCCCTGCTTCATTTTGCTTTCCAAGGCCAAACTTGTCTGTTATTCCAGTTACCTTTTGACTTCCTACTTTAGCATTCCAGTCCCCTATGATGATGAGGACATCATTTTTTGGTGTTAGTTCTAGGAGGTGTTGTAGGTCTTCATAGAACCGGTCCACTTCAGCCTCTTCTGCATCAGTGGTTGGGGCATACACTTGAATTACTGTGATGTTGAATGGTTTGCCTTGGAATCGGACAGAAATCATTCTGTCATTTTTGAGATTGTATCCCAGTACTGCCTTTTGCACTCTCTTGTTGACTATAAAGGCCACACCATTTTTTCTACGAGATTCCTGGCCACAGTAGTAGATATAATGGTCTTCTGAGTTAAATTCGCCCATTCCTGTCCACTTTAGTTCACTGATTCCTAGGATATCGATGTTCAGTCTTGCCATCTCATTTTTGACCACGTCAAGCTTACCTTGATTCATAGATCTTACATTCCAGGTTCCTATGCAGTATTGTTCTTTGCAGCATCGGACTTTCCTTTCACCATCAGACACATCCACAACTGAGCGTCCTTTCGGCTTTGGCCCAGCCGCTTCACTCTTTCTGGGGTTACTTGTACTTGTCCTCTGCTCTTCCTCAGTAGCATATTGGACACCTTCCGACCTGAGGGGCTCATCTTCCGGCGTCATATCTTTTAGCCTTTTGATACTGTCCATGGGGTTTTCTTGGCAAAAATACTGGAGTGGGTTGCCATTTCCTTCTCCAGGTGGATCACGCTTGGTCTGAGTTCTCTGCTGTGGCCTGTCCGTCTTGGGTGGCCCTTCACGGCATAGCCCACAGCTTCATTGAACTGCGCAAGCCCCCTCGCCACGACAAGGCAGTGATCCATGAGGGGCCACAAGTGATGGGCCACTACATAAAAGTGCCTAACATCTGGTGACACTCTGGACAAAACTCTATGGTAGAATTAGCTTCAAACCATAGAGTTTTGCCCCCAAAACAGAGTGTAGCCCCCACGATGTCACCAATATGTGTATGTCACTTTCGGGTGATGTAGGCACGTCACTGACATCCCTGACGTGTACGTCACCTGGAGGGGGCATAGGAACGTCACGCTTCTTCCCTCCCCTCTCTTCGAGCCTCCTTGTAAGTCCACCGCCGGCTTGTGGGCCAGACTTGGCAACCCTACTTTTCTCGGTACCAGACCACCTCACATGTCTCTTGAGAAACCTGTATAAGGGTCAAGAAGTGACAGAACTAAATATGGAACAACTGATTGGTTTAGCATAGGAAAAGGAGTATGAAAAGGATGTATACTGTCACCCTGTTTATTTAATTTATATGCAGAGTACATCATACGAAATGCCAACCTGGATGAATCACAAAATGGAATTAAGATGGCCCGGGGAAAACATCAACAACCTCAGATATGCAAAGTGAGGAGGACCTAAAGAGCCTCTTGCTCTTCGTGAAAGAGGAGAGCGCAAAAATTGGCTTGAAGCTCAACATCAAAAAAACTAAGATCATGGCATCAGGATCCATCGCTCCTTGGCAAATAGAAGTCATGGAAGCATGCGAACGTCACAACCAGGTTTTCAGCCAGACAAAACACCAAACTGACACCACATCTGCCCCAAGCCTTTCCCAAAGGCCCTCCCCAAAGCTCCTGGGGGGGGGGAAGCCACCCCCTACGATCCCTACTCCAGCATCCGACTTCCCAGAGCAGCCCGCCAGATGTCCTTGTAAGCTTGGGCACAGAAGCCAAATTTTCCAATTATTATGGGACCCGAGAAACTGATTTTCAGCGCTCTGCTGCCCCAGAAGGTGGAGGCTCCCTTTATCCCCCAGGTTGAATAGCTCTGCCGAGGTTTGTCTACCTTTTCTCTTGTGAGCTACCTTGAGCTCCTCTTACGGAAGGAAGGTGAGATATGACTATTCAAACTAATGGGAGGAATTGCCCTCGAAGAATATGTCTAATCTCCTTTTGGAGGCATCACAGTTAACGGACATGGAGTGCCACAAATTAACAGTGTGTTGTGTAAAGAAGCGTTTCTGAACTCTCTACCCATCAAATTCACGCTGTGCCCCAATCGCACCCAGGCACGATGAGTCCTTACCACTGGAGAGGGCAACTTGGGCACGCTCCACGGCCTGTGCCCTCTGTCCTTGCTCCAAGGAAGCTCCTTCTGCCTCAGGGGATGTCGCTTCTATCTTCATGGAGGGTCCCCACGTCTGAAACAGCAGCGAGGGAGAGGGGTAAGAGATGGAATGGAAAAGGGACCAAGGAATGGATCCTGCCCCACTCCCAGACTCTGCACCCTTCCAGCAGCAGACCTGGAGAGATAAGAAAGTCTCTGGAATCCCCTCACCTGTTCTGCCTGCCTCTTCTCCTCGGCCTGACTCAGGAGGAAACCTTCGGCCAGGGCCACCGCCTGGGAACTGGTCTCCGGCCCACACCCTCTGACCCAGCCCTGCATTTCCTGGGGCAGGAGAGTCAGGAACTGCTCCAGGGTCACCAGGTCCAGGATCTGCTTCTTGGTGCGCCTCTCCGGCTCCAGCCAGTGGCTGCAAAGTCCATGGAGCTGGCTGCAAACCTCTCGGGGCCCATCGGCCTCACGGTAGCGGAACTGCCAGAAGCGTCGGCAATGTACATCTGGGATTGCAGTGAGCTGAGAGTGGATCTCTGGCACCAGGCCTTCCCAGAATTCAGCACCACTCCCAGCTTGGGTGGGATGGGGGCCTTTCCTTGCTGTCTTGCCACTTCCAGGTCCTTCTGGGATCTGCTCGTCCATCTCTCTCCCCTTCTCTTGAGTCTGTGGGTGATACCTCTGTAAGATGCCATCAGTCACTTGGCTATGAAGAGGGGCTTCACTGGGGGGGGGGAAGACAGTCACATGGGAAATCAAAGAGGATGGAGAATCACCACTGAGCATCACAAACCTTCACATGCTCAGGAGACACACGAGAATTGCCCTGGTGCATCAGAACAAAAGGGTCCGTAGACCAGGTGCAATATCAGTTTTCTATATTGCAAACCACGGTGTTTGAGATATGCCTCCAGGGTTCTCTGGGAGAGTTCAGGGTCTCTGTTTGGTGCTTTGAAGGATGTTCACAGGCTAAGCCTCCCACCACATTGGCTCCATCTGTCCTCGGGGCCAATTCTTCAGGGAAACCCCAGAAGGACAAGAGGGAGGGGTGAGCCCTGGACCCTTGTAGGCGTCTCTCCGACAGGCCAGAGGTGTTGGGCAAGAACCTTGTCTGAGAGCCCAGCAGAGGAGAAGGGGCAGGAATGTGTCCCTGTGAAGAACCAGCAGCAGCTGAGATCAGGAGAGGAAGGAAGACAGGCTGAGCTCTGGCTGAAGGATTTGACGCAGAAACGCTCCCTGTGGGCCTCTGATGCGGGGCAGGGAACCTGCTCCTCTGGGGGAACTCCTCTGGCTGCTGCCCCTGCTCAGCTCCTTCGTGAAAGCCAAGAGTACCACACTAGGAGGCTCCCCCAGGGCTTCCGCCTCCTCCTTCTTCCAAGGGGAACCGACCCGAGGAAACCATCTCCCCTGGGACTCCTTCCCCCTCGGAGGAGCAGCAGGGCGGAGGCAACAAGAGGTCTTTCCTGCAGAGAAGAATCCGGGTTTCCTCCTGGCTCCCTGGTCCACCTCCCCCCCTGACCGGGGGACCCTTTCCCAGCGCCCAGCCTCTCTGGGGGGGGGAGGGAACAAGCCTCGGCCCGGCCCTCCGGACCACTCTGGGTGCCCAGTGAGTGAGACCCCCTCCCCCCCATCCTCCCAAGGGCTGCTGCTGCTGCTGCTGCTGCGGGGGGGGGGGGGGAAGAGGGGCCGGGG